CACACCAAAGCACAAATATTCTGCACTTTCTTCGAAAATGGAACAAAAACTATGCAACAATTGTATATGGTTCAAAGGTATTTTTCTTAATTAAAAACGCGTAAAATGAACATAAATTAACGCGCATCTGGATGATAAAACAACTAAATGAGTTTTTTTTGTTCCGCTGGTAAATTTTAAAAAAAAAATACACTTTCGAAACTAGAAAAGATTACTTTTTGAAAATTTGAACTTTTTGCTGATCGATAGCTGAGTTTGTTTTACAAGAAACCTTAAATTCGATCCGCAAAAACTCAAATTTTCAAAAAACTTTTCCAGAAAAAAACTATTTAGCTAAATAATTACCACCTATCAAAAAATCTTCACTGCGTTCATCAATTCTTGAAAACATATGGCTTTAAATTTCTTTGAATTATAAGAAAATTGAGATTGACACTGTTTTGAGAACAAAAAACGGAAAGCAGGATCAGAAACATTTTTTTTGTAATACTAGAAATCGTATAGAACTCTGCGCACTCCACTTGTCGCGTACGTTAGGGGAGCGGAGGCGAAGAAAGACGTCTCCGTCTCTCAACCGATTGATCAGATTTTCGAGGCTCACCGTAATCCGTTCTGGTTGCTTGCGGTTTGGGGGCGCATGTAGTTCTTAAGCAGAGGGCACAAAAAACAATAAACAAAAACATCACGATCTATAAGAGTCTCACTATGTTCTTTGACTTTGAAATTATATGGCTGAACAAATCTCTGATTTTAAAACACAAATTGAGTTTGACACTGTTTTGAGAATAAACTTCTTTTAAATCTCCTAATAAAACTACGAGTCATTCAGGTTTTTTGTTGCCTTGAAATTAAACTTTTGCTGAGCGATGGCGATGTTTCACTTAAGTTTCACAGGCTTAAAAAACGTTTAAAAATAAGCCAAAAGTCAAAAACCTTCAATTTGAATCCAATTTCAAAATAGAAGTGACAAAATTTTAGTGACTTTCAAACTTTTGCTCATCAAATTTGTAGCTTCCCTTCCTTTCAACAAATGAAAAGAACTGAACTTACAAGAAATCAAAAATTGAAACCGAGACAAAACAGTAAAAAATACAGCTTGAAAACAAAAAAAAATTTTCGACTTGATTTCGAGCGTATATAAAATTTTTGAATGATTGTTGTTTAAAGTAAAAATTGATTTTTGTTTGATTGTTTGATAAATTATTCTACAAGATAGCCAATAGACAGTTGGATAAAGAGTCAATGAAGTCAGAGAACAGAAAAAAACTAAATTTGAAAACTTTTCAACTTTCAAATTATAAAGTAATGCTCACTTTAGAGCTCTTTTCAGTTCAAGAAAAGTTTATGTCAGACATTTTTGCAATAAAATTTTATAATTTTGAAAAGACTGGATCAATAGGAAAATTGAATCTGAAAGGTGAATTTCCAAAAAAGCTGGCCTCAAAGCACTTCGAATTTCATGAATAATTTATGATTTACAATTGTTTTATTAAAATAACCCATTTAGGAAAATTGGTTCGGTTCAATAATTTAATTGTAATTTTTGTTTGAAAATCTGATAAATAAATTCAATTTTCGAAATTAGAAGTCGATCACTTTTTTCATGCCCTTTACACTTTCGCTGATCCAAAATGGAGTTTGCCTTCCTTTTAACAAAAAAATCAAACGAACTTAAAAAAAGAATCAAAAATTAATACATGAAAAAGTAAATTTGAGCTTGAACCGTTTATTTTGCTGGGAAATCCGAAAAATGAATTCCAATTTTGAAACTAGAATTCGATCAACTTTTTCCTGAAATTTGCAATTCGATTGTGGAGCTTGCCTTCCTTTCAACAAAAAAATGAACTGAACCTAAAAAAAATCAAAAAGTCAATAAATGACTAGGTAATTTTGAGCCTGTTCATTGATTCTTAAAAACGGAATCTGAACAACGCAATCAGATAAAATTTAAAAAAAAACAAGTTTGTCTTCATTGTAACATAAGAAATGAACTTAACGTAAAAAAACCAAAATTTAAACCACAAAAAGGTCAAACTTGAGAGCTAAAAGTGTTATAGACTTTTCCTGAAAACAAAAACAGTTTGCTTGAAGCTTCAAATATCGAAGGCAACCTTGAATTTTTCAGTTTCTTCTTTCCTCTTTCCTTATTTAGTTAGAATCCCCTGTGGATTTAGTCAATTCTTTCAGTTGATCGAGATAGATCTTTGTTGCATTTCATATTCACGCATTTCATTTTTTTGACCAACAACTCGAAATATTGTTATAATCGTTATAATCTTCCTATCTTCCTATATTGAGTTTAAAATTTATCTTTAAGTGCTGGAAAATTTGAACCAGTTTTCTTCAAACCCAGTTTTAATTTCATTGCTTTCATTTGACAGATCAATCCACCCGTTGTGATGATTATTTGCGGTGCCTAACTTTGCGTGGAAAACTTTCTTAAAGTTTCTCGAAGACAATGAATACTGAATACAATTTAGATGAAAGAAAAACGATTAAATTGAGTTTGAACAATTTTTGTTTGATCCAAGTTAATCTATTGCCGTTTAAATTAACCTCTGAATCAAATTTATGTAGGGTTTGATAATATTCATTTCTGAATAACAAAGCATTTTTTCTCAAATTTTCAGTTTCCAGCAAAGAATGTTCTCTGCTCAACCAAATCCACCTTTTTTTGGCCTACCAAAAAGTAATTTACATTTATCTAAATGTATTGTTGACAGGCCTCGCAAGGTTGTTATTGATAAATTCAAGCACGTCGAGGGGAAAATAGGCAGAAAAGACTTTGTAACCGTAGCTACAAACAACTAAGAACTGAGATTTTTTGATCCGATGATTTTGTAAGTAGGGAGGAACTTTGTATTCGGGCGTATTTTAGGCTTATCTTGTTTCACGAAAAATCAGCCACCACAAATAACCATTGGAGGGAGTTGAAAAACATATCAAAATAAAACTGTGATTCGAACAGTTTTTAAAATTTTTGAAAACATTCCCTGTGTTATGACTAAACCAGTTTAAAATTAACCATTTTAAAATAATTTTTAGTTTTGAGTTTAATTGAAAAAAAACTAATTTTTGAAGACTTTTAATGCCGTTTTTGGAATCAACAACTTCAAAAACTCAAAAAAAACTTGAAAAATTTAGAAAAAAACTTAATGGTTTGATAATACTTTAATTATTTTTGTTTGTTTTTCTCGCTGATTTTTTTTCAAAAACTGTTGTCGTGTTTGTTGATATTGCTATCAAATATGCCTAAATTATAGTTTTTCGTCAGATCCTTTTATCACAACAGGCAGAAAAAAAACTAAGTTATTGTAGATTTTTTTTTAACTAATGATTACTAACTTTTAAAGACAATGTGCGAAATATTTTGCTTTCTTTTGAAAGTAACCGGCTATCCTTGTTTAAATTAGCAAAAAAATTGAGCTTGTTTTCTGGTAAAAAGTGCATAATGGTTCACAAAGGAATCTTATTTAAGCTGAGAGTATTTTTCATCATTGGCCTTAGGCTTTTTCGATTTTACAAATTGAAGATTTGATCTTGAAATTTGGTCTTGAAATTAGCCCACCACGGTCGGAAAAAATAAATTCAGTCAAAGCATGATCGAAAAAATAGAATAAATAAATAGAAAATAGAAATAGATTGAAAAAACAGAAAAATATACTTTCAATAAATTTTAATTTTGTGACTGAGTTTTCATCTTTGCTCATTGTAAGTTAATGAGCAAAGATAAAAACTCAGAATCACAAAAATAAAATTTATCGGGAATATATATTCTATTTTGCTGCTATTTCTTACCATGTTACCACTAGTTTTTT